AGACCGACTACTGTAGTTTAACCACCAACTGCCCCTTTTTTTCAAATAAACTAGATGCTTTTTAGAAATCATCTTGCACAAAATATAAATAAGCTAAATTTTGCAAATTACTATGTGCGTTCAAAGGGGAATCTTGCCGTTGCATACAGGTCTGAAGCTCTTCTCCAGATGCAATTATCTGTTTCACACCATACTTTAACTGCATGCACCCTGAAGCATAATCCAGTCTCCTTGCTGACTGAGATAATACTGACGTAATAAGCATCGACAAAAAATTTCTCAAAATAAAAGAGAAAAGAGAGTCCCACAGCGAATATTAGGGATTCCTGTTGCGTAGCAGTTAATGGCTGTTTACAAGGTTTGTTCTATCCTATATTATTTGTTGACCATGCTAAAGCCTAATATATGGAGCCCCAATAGACATCCTATTCGATGCGTAGATCAACTGTCCTCATTTACTTTTTATTTACTGGACAATAGCAAGTTACGCCTTGCACAGCAAAGGACTACCAAAATAAAGCTGTGCAAACAGAATTGCGAGCACTTTGGTTTCTTTTTGTAATTACCTAATGGTTTTTGGGTTTATATTTAATGTCTAGTAGCAACATTAAAAAAATAGTAAACCACAAACACAACTTTGGTGACAGAAAAGAAGCATAAGGAGCAACAATAAGTACAGACCTTCTTATATTAGCCACCTATACAAAGGATGCATTAAGGATATTTTAGGGTTGCTAGGAAGCAATTTTAGAATTCTACATGATTATAGTCAACATGAAACGTTTATCTTCCGGAGATCTGTCTATTCAAAATTATTATTTATCAACTATGTTCTTGCTATTTTGGTTCTAGGTATGGACGGTATTTATGTCCCGGTCTAAGGAAAAACATAGGAACAGTAGGCAACCCAAAGTGTGTATGCGACTCTCAACGACAGAAAATGGAAGATTATTTGCACATCATGTCAACATTATCTCAGTGAAGCAATATTGTGTATGCGGGAGTGGCTTATGGTATCCGGGCTCTCACCAAAACCATCTTTTGAATGGATTTATTCAAGAATTCAGCAAATAAATATGTATAACCATCCAAAAATGGACCAAAATGGATAGACAGACTAAATACACATAAATCTGTTTAAATGTAATCTAACTAATCACAACAATGCATAACAATTAAATAATGCATAATTAAGGTGGTTATAAAGTTAAGTATAGTCAATTCATAGTGGGCCTATGAATCTCCACATAAACTACCGGCTCGATGCGCAGCACAGATTTGTCGTTGACCGGATCGGCCTGCGGTAGCCCTTGAAGGCGTGACAATACTGCATCGGTACTTCCTAGCAGGTGAGGGGCCGAAGCGTAAATGGGAAGACTATTACCATCCATTTTACGGCACACAGATAAGTCGAGTAAACCATCTGGAGGACAGGATACTTCATCCCTCATGACACAAAAACCTAAATTAGCTGGATTGATGCTGCTATTCGCCATCTCATATGCGGAAACCGAAAAGTTGAATAGCTAAAAGCAAAAATACATTGATATATTGCGATATAATTAGGTGTTGATAATTGTATCAGAATCTTGTAAGTTGTAAAGTTTTGGAGAAGTGCTTCCAAAAAATTTTTTTTAAATTAAATTTAAATTTGAAGAAATTGCATAATGTTGAAATATTCTACTATTAGAGCAAAATAGCTAGTAATGTATTTAAAATAAAGTTACAGATTAATTTAAAAATCCTTCTACGTGTGCCTTAAAATATACAAACATATGAATGAGATGTTGCTACGTTTTAGCTGAAATTTGACAATTTGATAAGTACAAACTCTATTCAAAGAAAGGTAGAGCGTCAGAAAATTATTCATTTACTTCTCCCCGATTTCCTATTTCGCAAGAAAATTTGATTGGAGTCAATATGTAAATTGATCTCACTGGAAATTGAATGGGGATTGACTTGTAGTTATGACTGTTGATTTGTGCGCAATATTTCTTCGCTTCTCACTCTAACACCGCGAGGAATCGGTGCTGAATTTTTGTCTGTAATTACGTGACAGTTCAGAAAATCGCAATTGTCCGATACGTGTCAAATTCAGGAAACCTAATAGAGTTGCTTGAACTCAAACGTTTTAGATAATACGGGAACTTTACATATAAACGTAAGCTTTAATGTCCATATAAATTGACAAAACTGCTAACTTTCTGAGTAATAGGAACATGTGTAGGAAACTGGATAGGAACCGTCTGCGATTTCTGGATAGGCATAGCGATAGGAGATTGCAGATGAAAAAAACTAAGCAAAATGAGGCTTGATCAGGCTCGAAAATGGCTAAGACTCTCATGCCAAGCCCAACACATGAGTTATGCTGATGGAATAGAACCGAAAGTTGAAGGTTGACTGTCTTGGAGCTATGACTTCAAATTTGAGTGAATGAGTTCTAGGCATAGCGCCACCGAGCTTATGTCCGTCTTGTGATAGACATCATCAGAGAAGAATACTATGCTTTAGGATAAGTCACCAAGCAAAAAGATAATCAAGGTGGCTAGC